TTAGTGTTGTGTGATATGCTAAAGAGGTTTACAAAACTCAATTCACTAGATTGGCCAGGCGTGGTGGCTCATGCCTGTAATCCCAGCACTTTGGGAGGCCGAGGTGGGCGGATCACGAGGTCAGGAGATCGAGACCATCCTGGCTAACACGGTGAAATCCCGTTTCTACTAAAACTACAAAAAATTACCGAGGCATGTAGCAAGTGCCTGTAGTCCCAGCTACTCGGGAGGCTGAGGCAGGAGAATCGCTTGAACCCGGGAGGCAAAGGCTGCAGTGAGCAGAGATCGTACCACTGTACTCCAGCCTGGGCAACAGAGCAAGACCCCATGTCAAAAAAAAAAAAAGAAAAAAGAAAGAAAGTGATATAGATTGTCACAGTTATACGTCTGTAAATTGAATTTTTCTGATTATAAAAGTAAATAAGTGGGTCATGTGGCATTTACATTTCTCAAAACTTGAGGTAAATTTTACCCCAGAAGAAAACAAAACTGCAAACACATACTGAACTCTAGTAAAAATATACACAATGAAGTGTTTAAGAAGGAGCACATTGATGCCTGCAACTTATTTGAAATATATCAAAAATGAATTAATAAATGGAAGGTTAGACAGCTGCATACACATCTTATAAAGCAAGTATTTATATTAATGATAGGCACTAGATGGTAGGTATGCAAATATTTACAAAACTTTTTCACCTTTATGTTTGAAATTTTTCACGATAAAATGCTGCGGGGAAAAGAAATGTAAAATCATCATAGGAAAATATGAAAAACAAAGTACAGTATAGGAAAAATAAAAGCACTATACAGACATAAAACCTACACCTGGGATCATATTGTATATCATGTTTTGTAACTTCCTTTCACCACTTAGCACTATACAATGAGCATTTTCCTTGCTTTCTAAATGTTCTTCCAAATGGAAGAGAAATCAATTACATGCTGCAACATAGTTTGTAACTTCCAATTCTTCCTTGTTATACATCTGAGAAGAATCCTATAATTATATCCATCTTTCTGCACATCTCTGATTATTTCCTTAGGATAAAGTCCCAGAGTAAGATTCCTGGCCCAAAGAAGTAAACATTTTAAGATTCTTGATACATTTTGCTAAACTCTTCTCCAGAAAGGTTTACCAATTTACATTCCTAATAGCAGTGTATCACAGATGCTAGCTAACCAGACCCATGAGTTTACATTTCAAATTAAATGCTTTCATAAATAAAATTTCTCTATAATTTCTGCCAAAAAGACAATGTTCTTTTTAAAAAAGTCTAAAGTAAACAATCCTAGTACCCAAATCTTGGCTCCTAAATAATATACTCCAAAATCAGGTCTATTGACTCAGGGCTTCTTGAAAACATGGCTGACTCCAGGAATGAGACAGGAAGTAAATGAGCCTAGTACATCTTTTTGTGCCTGAAGTAAGAAAATCATCAAAAAGTGTTGGTGACATGTCAAAAGGACACAAGAGTCAGCTGGAAAGAGCTCTTATTTGCGAAATTTGGGATAAGTTAAGCATGAAAATGAATAACACTAATGGATTATAACATTCTGAATTCCAAAAAGTCTTTAAGTATACAATCAAACAATAACTACACAAATGGATGGATGAATAAAGGATGAAAGGAAAAAAGAAGGGCAAACTCACTTATGCTAGAACTTTTTCCTTTCTGCACAGTAAACCATCATAATACTATTTGATCCAAACAAGAATCATCAATGGATGCTAAAATCATTAGTAAATGTTTGCTGAGGAAAGATGTTTACTTAGCTTCAAAGTATCTACCAATAGCTTAATTATTAATTAAAAAGGAAAAATAGGTATTTTCTTTTACTGTGGAGAAATTGGGTAAACCCCTCTTAACTAAGGATTCAAAACTAACATCACCAATAATGAGACTAACCAACATCACAAGACACCCATTAAGACACACCAAGGACACATGACCTATGTAGTTTTCCTCCCAAAACTACGTAAACTCTGACTAGGCTGGGGGTTGGAGGAGGAAATCACCCCCCCAAATGAGAGATATTCTACAAAACAATTGTCCTATACTCTTCCAAAATGTCTACATCTTAAAAGACAGAGAAAGGCAGAGAAACGGTTCTGGATTAAGCCAGGCTAAACAGACATGTTGATGACATGCAATACATGATCCTGGATTGGATCCTGGGTTGGAAAAATTGCCATCAAAAGCTTGCATTGCAAAAGTTGGCAAAATGTGAATATAGACTGCATAACAAATAACATTACTGTTATCATTGTTAAATTTTTTGAATTTGCTAATTGTACTGTGGTTGTGTTTTGGGAGATGCTGAAGTATTTAGGGATAAAGGTACATAGCATCTATAATGTACTCTCATGGTTCAGCAAAAATCATACTATATATGAATACATGTAAATCAATAATAAATAGAGAAAAAGCAAATGTAAAACGTTACTAAATGGTGAGTCTAGGGGAAGAATATAATGTACTAGAGTTCATGGTAGTATTCTTTCAATTGTTCTCTAGGTTTAAAAATTTTTTAAAAAAAAGTTTTAAAGAGCGACAGAGATTTTAAGTAAATACAGTCTTTCTTTTTTGTTTTTAAATAAAGTAATATTATAACCACTAAAACAGAGAAAAGTAGTACATACTCATCACACTAGAGGTCTGCAAATAAAGTGAAAGTAAATAGTCTTCCTTTCTCCACTCACATAAACAAAGTTAGAGTTTGGTATATATTTTCTCCACATTTTGCTAAGTTTATAGAACATATGTTTAGTCTAATATTAAGTAATTCTTAAAGAGTCACATGAAATGAGCAGCAAACATTTTATTAAGTGTTCCATTGCCTCTAAAACTCATTGGCAAAAGACAACCAAGTGACGTGGAACTGAATCTATAAATTTGGAAAAAATCCAGGGCTTATTACCTTTATCTTATCACTTAGAAAACACCTAGCCAGAAGCCAACACACATTTCATAAAGCATAATAATTATTTACATAAGAAATGTATATTTCCTTGTTAGTAACTGTCAACTCCTCGCCATAACTTTTTACGTCTTAAACTCATGTTGTTTTAGTACAAATGGGGATCCTTTGCCATAATTTACTGTGTCTCTTTATCACTCATAATCACTGACTAAGCCCCAAAGCAAAAGTGGAGGTTTTGTTTTTGCTACTTAAAGGTTTATGAGTTATGCTCTTACAGTTTACTGGAATCAACTGAATTTCTGAATTATCTACATTCATGTTAAATACCTGCACAAAAGCGGGATTTGGCAGTTTCCAATTCCTGCTTTCACTCCTGTACTTTCCTATGTCATTTTCCTGGCTCTTCCAAGAATAGAAGAAAAGGTATTATGTAGGTATACTTGGGTAGGGGGGAGTGGAGTAAATGGGTTACAATTAATATTTTCCTATCAAGATCTGTTTCATGTCTCATAAAATCTTTCTCACACCGAACAATCATATAAGAACATGTTCCTTTTACTAAAGTTGTATAATCTAAAGCTTAAAATATTAGCATATATAAAAATAACTGACTATAAATGGATGGAGCAGGTTTAGTTTTCTCTTCATACCTGGTCAATTAGAGGTTTCAAAGTTAGAAACTAAAGAACAGGGTTCTAGCCTCCTGGATTTCATTTGCCCCTCCTGGGGCAGCTTAATACATTTCACGATCTATAAAACGCAATCTATAAAGCTCTATTTCCCAATCTATAAAACGGGGACAATAATACTTCCTATAAAGGACTTAATGAATTGATCAGCTAAAAGGGCTAGATTCAGTGAAAGGTAAGACATGGATTTCGTACTTGGCTACTATAAAAAATTTTTGCTGATTGAGAAATGGGGGCAAGGGAAAGTGACTTTCTTATATCCAGTACCCTTCTGTTTTGTGTACGGATGGGCTTTAAAAGCTCTCATTTCTTAATACCTTCCAAAAACCTATAGATACACCAAGGTAGAGATATCTCAGTCCTTCTAACCTAACTTCAACAATTGGAAACACAGCTGGTGATCACACAATTACATAGCACTGCTGGGAGGAAACCCACAAAGTGCTACCATTTGGGTTTCCTTCTCTAATCAATTGCTATGGTTCACTGGCAGCAGTTAACGAAAAAAATGAAATCATTCAGGGAGATTAAAGGATATTTATGGGAAAGTTCACTTTAAAAAGATATTGAACAATAATTAGCCAAAACAGGACATAAATAGAAATGACCAAAACCAGCTCCAGAGGGTCGCTACTGAAGTTATCAATGCTGCTGAGTCCCTGCAGGTCAGCTCTGCAATTAGTTTTATTCTCATGGTACCAAACTGAATGTGACAACCATGTTATATCTCATTCCTGATAAGGATGAAAGTTCTAAGAGCTCTGAGCTCATCTAGGACCAGCATAAATCCCAGGCTCTGAAAGCCAAGACCCTTTTCTGATTTTACTAGCAGGGCAGCTCTCTGTCTGGCACCCATTACTTCTATAGAATACAAAGCCCATCACTGTTAGCCTTAAGTAGAGGTGAAATCCAAGAAACAGGGACTGCATATTTCAGTTAAAAAAAAAAAATATGCCTTTTATCTTTTAAAAGACAATTGCTGATGACCAGAAGTTCAAGCAGAGAAAATGGAAAGGGTATAAAAACTTTACACATTACTCTTTACCGACCCCTCTTGGCTGCCCTAGGGAAGAGAAACGTTTGAACCCTGGGAAGGTCTGAAATCTCACCTCTGCCTCCAGGAGAGCTCAGAGAACATTCGGTCTTTCACGCCCTGGAAAGAAATCCTCTTACTTCAGCTGACCCCTAGTAGAACTCAACCCTAAAGCACACGCTGCAATAATTTCTATTTATGGGGCTCCCAGAATGGAAATTGGGAACGGCCTCATGGATCAGCCCCAAAGGCCTTGCAAGATCCGTTGCAACCCTGTGACCCTCTAACTCGAGGTTGAAAAAGTTTACATAAGTGGTATCGTGACTGTTTCTGTCAGCTGGAAAAGACCTTACCTCTTTCTCTATTTTGAGGAGCTTCTTTACAGCCACCTCCTTGTCCTGTGATATCCATTTGGCTCGATAAACACTCCCGAAACTTCCTCCACCGCAGTTTTCAAAAAACTGCAAGTCATCAAATTTAATTTGCACAAAGGAGGCACCGAGAGACGACATCTCATAATGACAAAGTATTATACTTCCACAAAATCTGCAGAAAGAGAGAAAAAGAAAAGCTGAATTACAAATATATTAGGCTAAATCCTCTGAATCCTACTTTAGATAATATACCACGAACGAGTCCTGTGAAACTTCCAGAAAGTCATGGTGACTTAGGAAGAAGAAAAGCAAGATTATAAACAAATCGAAATGAAAACACTCACCCTGGCAGCCCACGCAAAATTCAACAACAACCTGCCCAGACTTTGAAACACAGCTGTCCACAGAGAAATGGCTCAGATTTCCCCCTGACAAAACCTGCAGCAGCACTTCCTACCCATCCCGAGGAGCTCTGCCGAAAGGCTACTGTGTCACCAGGTCTCCTATCAGGAAGCCCTGACAGGCGGGAAGCATGCTTTCCACAGCAAGCTTGCATAGCTCCCCTGGCATCTAAGGCATGCCACCTCTCCACGCTGCGCTCACTTCACACAAAATATACACAGCCTAAGCCGCTGAGCATCCTGGTACACGGACAGCCAAAGGGTTGCAAACTGAACACACAATCAATGTTTAGACTCCAAAAACAAACTTTCAACTTAGGGATAACAGAAAAGCTGGTCAAGTGTTTGCCAGAAGTGGCTCCCTGGACTGTATATTGTAACAAAACTTAAAGAGTAGAAAAATTTGCCCTTGATTACAATATATTAAGTCATCCAAAGAATACTGCCAAGGACGTTAAAAAATATTATGCTTGTTTCCAGAGAAACGTATTACCCCTCCCAGAGATTATTCTAGTGATCTTTCCTACGGTCTAAAGAGTTTTACTATTCTCCAGGTAAGTGGCCATTCTTAACACCCTATGCCAAACCATAGATTAATGAGACTTACAAACACAAAAACTGAACTAAAATTGGGCTAAAATTTTGAACCTACATAAAAACTTTAAAAATGGTGGATAAAAAAGTTAGTGCACGTATTCTTGCAAAAAGCATACATCAGAACCTTATGAGGGAGCAAAAAGACAAATCTATATTTCTAGGACATTCTACAAAACATCTGGTCTAGGCTCCTCATAATTGTGAATGTCAGGAAAGGTTTTTTTGTTTTCTGTTTTGTTTTGTTTTGCAGAGAAACTTCTAGCATAAGGAAAACTTAAAGAAACACAATGACTAGGCTGGGTGTGGTGGCTCATATCTGTAATCCCAGTACTTTGGGAGGCCAAGGCAGGTGGATCAGTTGAGGTCAGGAGTTCGAGACCAGCCTGGCCAACATGGCAAATCCCTGTCTCTTAGCCGGGTGTGGTGGCAGGCACCTGTAATTCCAGCTACTTGGGAGGCTGAGACACAAGAATTGCCTGAACCCAGGAGGCGGAGGTTGCAGTGAGCTGAGATGGTGCCACTGCACTCCAGCCTAGGCAAAGAGCAAAACTCCATCTCAAAAAAAAAAAAGAAAGAAAGAAAGAAACACAATGACTAAATATAATTTATGATCACTGGATTCTGGATTAAAAAAACTATAGAAAATATTATTAGGATATTAGGGAAATCTAAATATTAACTATACATTAGATGATATTAATTCATCCATGGCAAATAATGGTATTTTTGTTTTATAGATGGATGTCCTTGCATGTATTGCTTGGGAAATGCATGTAGATATTTTAAAGTATGATGTCTATAATTTACTTTAAAATGGTTCAGTCCTCATCCCTGTTCTCCAACACACACACCCAAAAAAGTACATGGGAATAGAGAGAGGGAGAGAGAAAGCAAGTGTGCCAAAATGTTAAGAACTAGCCCATCTAGGTGACAAGTATCTGGGCATTTTACTACTCTTTCCATTCTTCTGTTGAGGTTTTTTTTTTTTTTTTTTTCCAAAATAAAAAGGTAGAAGGGGTTGGTTTGTATCCATATAAACTGGCAACATTTCTCCATAAAAAGCCTGGGACTCTGCTGAATAAAGTGCACAGGCAGCTCAAAGATCTTAGCACACAGCTGGCTAGCCATCCCATTTCAGGAAAATCAGGTCACTGAAGAATGCTCATTTCTCACACGAAGTCAAACGCTACTCTACTTTGGGGAGAAGGCGAGAAAGAGGAAAGGTTATTTGTTCATCCTCTAAAGTTTAGAAGATACACTCCACATAAAAATATGAGTGAAGGAAAGATCACAGTATCCAAATATAGTCTATAAACATATATGAATCAATAGTTTACATTACCAACATTTTGTAATTCCTATTTAGTTAAACATGGAAAAGAACAAAATTTGGATAAAATTTGGGGATGTTGCCAAGGTAGGTATATAGAGTATGCAAGCTAAAAAGTTTGTTCAACCAAATGTCAAACACCATTTGCAAGCATTACAGACACTAGGTTTACATTTTTGTTAATTATTTTTATAAAAGCATTACAATGAAATTGAACTACAAAACTTATCATAAGAAATAGAAGCTTCTTGCTTCCCCATTCCCCATACCCAATTCCCACTCTCTAGACACAACTAATTTCAACTCCTTTAGCATTTTCTTCTGGCACTGAACTCTGTATTTCTAAAGAATGTGCTTACATTACTATTTCTTGATTTTCCATTTTAGATATTATCTATTAACCTCTCCAGTGGAAGACAAGAATTTAGTTCTCATATATCACCCTCTACCTCCATGCATACAAACATGGCACACTTGCCCAAACCTCCCAGCTTCCAACCACACTGTAACATTTGGTTAACAGTGTTTACAGTAACCCAACAAAGTAAACATTATTCCCAGCAGTGCCATGGAGGATTCAATAATTACATTGCCTTTCTTGTATAACTTTTTGATTCTCTTAGAATTATTAGTTGCCCTGTTTTTGCTTTTTTACTGTTGTTTGCTTAGCTTTTTACACTCCTAACACATCCACCTCATTAATCTCTCCCAGAAGCTGCAAAACTTCTCTCAGTAAAATTGAGACAAGTAATTTCTCTCTCTTTTTTTTTAAATCTTTGGTTCTATATATTTTTTAGAGACATTCCTTCTTGACCCTTCATCCTGATTCATTCTGGCTGGAATGGTTGCTCTCTAGGCCTGACTTGGACTGGGACTCCTGTTGGCTACCATCCTAAGAATTTCCTTCACCTTTTTCGTCTGTGAGAACCTTGTCTTTGGATTTCCTGTCTTCCCTTTCTTGTTTTGTTCCCTTGTTTTGACAACACATATCTCCCATTAGCTACCTGAATAGAGCACACAGAATAGAATTTTGTGAGAATCTGTGTATCTTAAAATGTCTTGATTGGTAGCCTGGTTGGGCATACAATTCTAGGTAGGAAACAATTTTCCATATAATTTTGAAAGTATTACTTCATTTTCTCCTAGTTTCTAATGTGGCTACTGAGCAGTCGGATGTTACTGATTATTAACCATTTTTATATTATTTTTTCCTCTCTGAAAGCTTTTAGGATCCTCTGTTGATCCCAAGAATCCTGAATTTTAATTGGATATGTTTAGGAATGAGTCTTTTTCATTCACTGGTAGGACACTCAGTGAACTCTTTCAGTCTGTAACTCAAGTGTTCTAATTCCAGGAAAGTTTCTTGTGTTATTCATTTACCACTTATAGCCACTTTGACTTGATGTCATCTCATTTCCCATACACACGAAGAACTGCCTGCATTTCCCAATATACACTGACCTCTCACATCTCCACACTTCTACACAGACTAGTGTCTCTGCTTCAAACACTCTTCTCTGCCCAGTGAACTTCTATCCCTGACCACCTCTTTCAGTCTCCCGAGCACAGTTAAATGCTCCCTCTTCTGTGCCACAGCACCTTTCTTCACCCATTGATCTTTCCCACTTAATTCCCACCAGACTATAAATTCCCTAAAGTCAGAACTCAGTTCTGTTTACATCTGGACCCTAGCACCTACTACACAGCCAGGTGCACAGTTATGCAGCTTCTCCATTAAAAACGCATTTGTGAATAAGTGAGTAAATAGTTTCTGGTTATTCTTCCATTATACCTTTTGTAGCTGGAAAGATTTCAACCAAGTCATGTAAGATGTAAGGTGTGTAATTTTTACAAGTACCCCAGCGGGTTCTGAAGCAAATCCTGATGTGGAAATGCTGCCTAGGCTTCTTGGAAGACTGAGGAGAGTGTATTTGGGACCTCCAGTACTGGGTCCCTCTGAATCCCAGGGTCAGGGAAGAAGGAGGAGGAGAGAAATTCTTTCCAAAACAAAGGTAGAGGTCTGAAGCAGGATAAGATCAATATGAATCCATCTAAGCCTTACGCTGCGGAACAAGCCCGGGGAATACGGATGAACTGAGGTAGGATCAGTCACAACTGACACTGACCTGAGGGTGCCAGAAAAAGGCTGACCTCTGAGAAGCACACTTCTCCAGAATGTCACCACTTGACAGGAGGCAACTAGCCACATTCTTCACAGAATCACTGCTACTCTGTGATACACCGTGCCATGTGGGAACTGGCTATTTGTGAATGGAACTATCCAATTACTTGAATGTTTTATTGAAACCATAAAAAATTAAGTTCCGACTGAATACCAAAGAAACTAGTAATCTAGGGTGTATGAGTATAGGTTTAACTCCAGTGAGCTTGGCAAAGCATCATGGATGTAGCTGAAAAACTTGGTTGAGATTTCCACTCCCACATACGTGAAAGTTAGACCATATATACATATTTTTCCCCTTGAGTTTTCTCTCCTTTAAGAATCATTTTTCCAAGGGGATCAATTTATGACCAGAAGAATGAAAAATCTGAGTGGCTAGTTATTTATACGTAGAGCATGTTGGGGAAGACTGCTACTTGATAAAATTATGTTCTAATTTTTCAAATGTATTCTGCACTGAATGAATATACCAGAATTTAATAAAAAGTCATCTATATAAAATGTACTTTACACAGGCATAGTTCCAAGTTCAATCCACATTTCTTCTCACTGTTAAAATAATTGTTTGCGGGGTACAGGTGGCTCACGCTGGGTACCCAGGATTTCCGGGAGGCCGAGGAACAGGGGATCACTTGGAGGTCAGGAGTACAAGACAGGGGCTCGAGCTGGCCCACATGGCGGGAAAACCTGTCGTCTATTAAAATGCAACAATTAGCCAGGCATGGTGGTGTGCACCTGTAATCCCACCTACTGGGGAGGCTGAGGTAAGAGAACTGCTTGAACCCGGGAGGTGGAGATTACAGTGAGCTAAGATCACACCACTGCACTCCCACCTGGACAACAGAGCAAGGCTCTGTCTCCAAAAAAAAAAAAAAAAAAAAAAAAAACACAGAATTGCTTTTACAAAAAAGTCAATTTTGTAGCATTCTAACTGTTGTTTTATAAACTTTCAAAGCTGTTTTAAATGTTAAATATCTACCACACAACACTGAAGGGTTAGAGCAGACATGTCACAAAAATCAAAGTAAAATAAGGCATCATAACTCTGTAAATGTTGAAAATCAATCATTTGGTGGTTGAATCCAATCATTTCACTATTTGAGTAGAATGTCAAAAAAATTTTAATTTAAAATTTTGCTTAAATTTCAAAAAAAATTTAACTATTAAATGGCTGAAAGCATATATAGCAGCATCAGCTAATTATCAAAAGTGGAACTATATGAAAACAGGAAATCTTAAAGAATTATTTTACTTTTTAAAGTTTTCAATCTTCTAGTCCAAAAAAGTAGACTTAAGTTTCTCTATTCACAGACCTATTTTGCTTGATTTTTTAGATCCATGTTGACCTCAAATAAGTCATTTATCTTTTCACTGTTGTTACTTTTGCCCAGTTAAAAACAAAAATGACCCTATTACAGTTCTAACGTTAAAAAGCAAGGTTTTAGAATTAGATTGACATGAGTTTGAACTCTCCCTCCACCTCTCAGTAAGGTAACTTTAACAAATCACTTTCTCTCAGACTGTGGCTTTTCCAGATGCATAAATAAAACATTTCAGATCTTTTCCATTCAATGTCACAAAACTGACAGCCCCAAAGTTAGCAAGTTTGCACAGTATTTGACTTCATTGATACATCTCACTTCCAAATAAGAGATATTTCAACAGGGAAGTAGCATGATTCAGGTGAAAAACCCCTACTAGAGAGATCTACCAGCAGATCTGTTAGTAGCTACTTGGGCAAGGCACCATGCCCCTCTGACCTCACTCTTCTCACGGGCAATAATATCAGTGCTGTG